CACGGGGGGGTGGGGGAGCGGGGGGGAGGTCAAGGGGGGAAAAAAAGAGACATATGTACCACTCTTTGTAACATTTTAAGCAATAAAACAAAATAAAAAGAAATAAAAAAAAGAAGGCTGATATACAGCTACATATAGATATACAGCTACTATTGGGGCTGGATCTTGGGGTCCTCCCCATTAGTATACAAGTGTAGAAACCCTCCAGCTGTCCATTATGCACCACAGCAGGTAACTATGTAACCTGTCAAGCTTCATTTTCTCTAAGTCTAAAATAGGCACAATGGTGTCTATAATTTATAGTGTGGTTGGGAGAATTAGATGACATAATGTACACAACGCAATTAACACTGCCTGGCACATAGTACATGGTCAATGACTTGTAACTATGCTTCCAGTAATAAAACTTTTTGTCTAAAAGATAACTTTACAATATCACTTGACAAATACAGAATTTACATGCACTAGCACTCTGCCAAAAAGAAAAATTATCTTTTAAAGTAACCCAAGTTAAATGTGCATAAAAAGGCTTTGAATGGAGCCTGGCTCCTTGCCAGATGACTTTCAGTCTCTGAATTCAGAACAAATATATTATTATAAACAGTTCCAAAAAGAGCATGGACTTTCGAGTGACCTGTTCAAGTCACTTACACTCTCTGAGCCTCAGTCTCCTCACCCATAAAATGGGAATCATTCCCACATCATCAGGTAATACTGAGGTTTTAGATGTTATTTGCAAAAGACCTAATAGTATCTTGCACATTTGTAGGTAATCATTTTAAAGCAGATGGAATAAAAGAATTCACTGGAGAGTTTATTCAGAGCTGGAAAAAATTTTAAGAGAAAAATTTCCATCCTCGGTACTTCATTTTTCCCTTCTTTGTAGCATTCTTACACATTGCCTTCTGCTCTAATCAGATGTGCTCCTCCTAAGGCTACACAGGTTTATTTGATTTGATTTATCTCCGCATCTTCTTCCAGCCCTACATCACCCTCCAAGAACCTACCAGTGGCTTATCCAAAGACAGTAATAAAACGCTGGAAAAGTCCAACTGCAGGAGAATTTTCACCATAACTCAGCCTGAGGAAAGTGGGGTTCTCCTCCGGAAAGAGGAAGAGAAGAACAGAAATGTTCCCAGATTATAAATCATTTTTAACTACAGGAGAAATTTCAGAAACAATATTTTTGCTTAGCTTACTTCATTTCCTACTTTCTACTAAGATAAGAATGACATCTGAGAACAAGGCTTACCTATTTGCACCATTTCTTCATTACCAGCCTGGAAAGGAGGGGGGGAAAGTAAGAAAAAGAAACAGTTACTGGGTTTCATCTTATCACCTCGTGCGTTTTATTTCTACCATTAGTGCCTTTCAGGAGCTAGCTAATCAGGAGATGCCGGAGACCCGGATTGGTGCCTCCAGGCTGCACCTGGGTTTGTAGAAGGTTCTTGTGTCCTGAGCAAGAGCCAATTCAGTAACAATTCGGGGCAGGGAATTGCTTGCCCGTTTTAATTTTAACTGAACATTTACGAAATCAGCAAAGTTAAATAGTGACACTCAATGTTCTTTTCCGAAAACTCCAGATACTGAGTCAGGATTAGAAAAGAGAGTCTATATATTATACGTGTGTAAAGAAGCCTCAAGGGGGGCCTGGTGTATCAGATTTGAAGTCAAGAATGAACCGTTTCATACTTTTTACCCTATGTTCAGACCAGGCAGACCAGAGAAGCTACAAAAACTCACAGTCGTGTTCTGCACCCCAAATCCCACCAGCCCCGTGAGGATGTGAATTACTACAAACGGCTTGGCTCGCCCCGCCGAGCCTTCTTAAGGACTCTTCTGAGAGCATCGGGCTTCACCTTGAGTCTCCAAAGGGTGGGGGCTGGGCCAAAAAGAAACAGAGCTGCACTCAGCTTTAAAGAGGAGGAGCTGTGCAGGGGGGGGGAGGGGAGAGCAGCGGCCGGCGCCCCCCGCCTCTGCCCAGGAAAATGCAGGGCAGGAAACGTCCCAGCCCCCCTTCGCAACTGTCAAACCCCAGCCCCGCCGCAGTCCTCCCAGGACACGTGTCTGCTGGATGGCTCCCTGTCCGGCCCAAGGACTTCCTGAAACCCCCGCTTCTGTCTGCCCGAAAAAGCTGTGAGTCAGTGAGAAGAGAAATCCCCGCGAACCCGACTCCGGTGGCAGCAACCAGAGCACTGGGATCCTGGACCCCGCGTGCAGAGCTTCATTCAAGCGCCCCGACCGCCCTCCGGAAAGGGGAAACCCAGACGGCCCGGCGAGGATGCGAATGGGCTGCAGTTTGTAACCAAGAATTGTTACGAATGCCGCAAAGTGGGGAAGCCCCAGGTGTGACAAGCCTGGGCTCCCGGAGTGAGAGTCCTCGCCTCCCGTGC